GTTCAGACGTGTGCTCTTCCGATCTTTAATTATTCAACTAAAATTGTATGTTTCATGTGTATAAAAGTTTTGATATCAATAAATGGTGCCAAATTATAATTCCTTAATAGAATACTTTATGCAATCCAAATCATACGTATCATGTAGCGTTTGTATTAAAGTAATTAAATATTTGATATCAATAATTAACGCCAAGTTTTAATTCCATAAGAACAGAATATCTTACTCAATTCCAGCAATATGTTATGTAATTGTACCAAATCAAAAAATTAAACCCAAGTAGTACTATTAAAATTAAAAAAAATAAAATCTAGTCTAAGTAAATGATATTTAACTTTATAAAACTACTATATCCAATTAAAAAGTAAAATCCAGTGGTACTGTCTTTAATTAAGAATAAAATTGCGTTAACTTACTCGACCCAAATGATATGCATTACTAAATGACACTGTAATTAACATTCCCATGAAATAAAAGGTTTCATCACAAAAAATTAAAAAGGCAACAACAGTCCAAAAAGAAAAAATTAATTTAAATATAATTTTTCATGTAAAAAAACTTGACGCTGCTAAACAAAATAAGGAAAACAATGAAACAGTTTAAATAATAGTGAAATTATGAAAAACAATAAAAGTAATAATAAATTGAATCTGAATGTACATCGAATAAAAATAAGGTTTATTAAGTTATTAAAAATACAATAGTAGAGCCTTCTTACATACAATCAAACGTATATACTTTATATTAACACTCTACATATAATCGCTTTTATATTGCACGCATTAATAATTTAAGCTTCTGTTATAAGCTATTTAAATCATTTTTGCAACATAAAATGCATGCAAGAAATTGAAATTTATATCTTATACATAATTTTAATCCACACGCCTGTAATACTCGCTTGCACACATATACATATATGAAAGTCTAGCAGCGTCAAGTTTTTTTTACATGAAAAATTGTATTTAAATTAATTTTTTCTTTTTGGACTGTTGTTGCCTTTTTAATTTTTTGTGATGAAACCTTTTATTTCATGGGAATGTTAATTAGTTACAGTGTCATTTAGTAATGCATATCATTCGGGTCGAGTAAGTTAACGCAATTTTATTCTTAATTAAAGACAGTATCACTGGATTTTACTTTTTAATTGGATATAGCAGTTTTATAAAGTTAAATATCATTTACTTAGACTAGATTTTATTTGTTTTAATTTAAATAGTACTACTTGGGTTTAATTTTTTGATTTGGTACAATTACATAACATATTGTTGGAATTGAGTAAGATATTCT